CCCTGGACCCTTCCCGTTACCCCAGCGCCCCCCAGTTATTCCTGTACCCCCTGTGGGCCCCCAGTGCCCCCTCCTGGGCAACCCCCGGGCTCCCTGTGCCCCCAATTCCCCCTCCCCAGTTCCCCCCAGTTCCCCCAGTGCCCCCCCCGCCACTACCGGGCGCAGCCAGAGCCCGTACCCGGAAGAGGGGGCATCACGTGACGAGGGCTCTTCCGGTTCCGGCGGCCATGACACCTACCGAGGCACAGGGGGCCGCCATGACACCCACCGGGCCACACGGGGCCGCCATGACACCTCCCGTGGGATTGAGGGGGGACAGGGGGACACGGGGCTGCTCCAGGGGGTCCCCACGGTGCCCAAGCGCTGCCCTGTCCCTTTGGGGTCCGCAGAGGGGCTGGGGGGGGCGTGTCACCATGACATCCATGGGATCTGTCACCATGGATGCCCCCGTGGAGGTGGCAGTGATGGGCATCAGCAGCACTGCAGGGGCTGGGACCGCCGCTCTCCCACCTCTGCTGGTGCCACTCGGGTCCCCAAGTGTGGGGACACCGCTGAGACCCTCCAGGCTGACCCCCAACATGCACCCAAAGAGCCTTTGGAACCTCTGAGAGGCTCCTCTTTGGACCCCTGAACATCAGCTCTGGGTCCCCCTGGCTGTGGGGGGACAGCAGAGGGGGCAGGGGACACATTGCTGCTCCTTGTCCTTGGAGTCTGTCACTCACAGCAACATCCTGGTAGGAACAGAGGCCTCCTGCTGAGCTGGGACAGCTCTGGAAGCCAAAGATCCCTCCTGCTCACTAACACAGACGTTCTCCTGCCAGGACTGAGGCCCGGGGCAGGAAGGCAAAAAACCCACCAGCTTCTAAAAACATCAGCTTTATTTCACTTCTGAGAGCGGCTGAGGAATCCTGCTCCTCCAGACACCACATCCCAACGCCTCCTCCTGCCTCCACGCCACGGGAAAGAGCCTGGCCAGCCCTATCTGTAGGAATTGGCCTTGTGTTTTGGCAGGAAGGTGAAGCCTGGGGGGACAGGGCCCAGGAGCAGCTCACTGGAAGAAAGAATCAATCACAGAATCAATCAAGAGACCTTTGTTCCAGCCCCTTCCGCTAGCCCAGGTTGTTCCAAGACTCATCCAAGCTTTGGGACACTTCCAGGGCAGGAAGACAAGGACAACAACAAAACCAAAGGCAAGGAGAGGTTTGTGTTCAGCCCACAGCTGTCACACCACCCTGTGGCTCTACAGGGGCTCTGCCACGTCCCTTTTTAGCAATTTAAATGGAATTCCACCTTTGATTACCTTATTTTAATCCAATCATCCACGTTCTGGCTGGCCATGAGTGTCTCCAGGTAGTCCCTCCCCAGGTAATACGGCGGCCGCTCGTTAATTCTCTGAGGTAGATGTTCCAATAATCCAACTGGAATGTACCTGGGATGGGATGGAACAGCAGTGAGTGCTGGAGTTTAATTAAATATTGTTCAAAGATCCTCTTGGATCAATCCAGTTTTGGCTGGGCAGAGTTACCTGCACAGGAAAGAGAGCCATTCCAGCAGGAATTTCCTGGTTTTCTCCACTCCCTGAGTGTCTGACCCCCAGTGCTCGAGGCCGTAGTTGGTGAAGTCTTTGAGGATGTCAAACCTCTCCCCAGAGGAGATATCCCAGTGTCTCTGCTCCTTAATTTCAGTGAAAAGCCACGGTTTGATGAGTGCCCCCCTGCAACCAAAAAAAAAAAAAAAAAAAAAAAAAAAAAGGCAGTGTTATTCCCATCATTGATGCTCCTGAAGATGCCAGCTGACTTTAGCCACTTCCCAGCCCTTTTTACCAGCCAATTTCTGCTTTAAATTTTGTTTCCCATTCCAACAAGAATCTGCTGGAGCTTCCTACCGATAGAAGTTGATTTTATCAATTTTCAGAGCAGTTCCAACAAGAGGAAACTTCTCGTGTTTTGAGGTTGTTTGGGGATTTTTTTTTTAATCTCTTTTTTTTTTTTTTTAAAAAAAAACAACTCTGGAACCAACAAGAGCTCAGAAGCGAAGGGAAACACAGGCACTTGCCTTGCAATCATGATTCCAGAAACTCCCATCTCCATGGCTCGATTTGCATCTTCGTAAGATAAAATATCCCCATTTCCTGCCCGGAAGGGAAGGAGAAGCCAGAGGGTCAAAGTGATCCATAAGGACAAGTCAAAATGAGTTAATCCAGGCACAGGATAAAATTCAAAAACGGACACAGAGTCCAAGAACCAGAATGTCCAAAGAGCCAAGGTCAGAGATTCCCAGGGATGTTTATGATGGATGTTTATGATTTCCCTCACAAGGAAAAGAGGAGCCTTCTCCTCTCTTCTCCTCCACTCCCAGCTCCTACCTGGAAGGTCTGGGGGACTGTCCGTGCCACAGGGCCCAAAAAGCACCCAGTAAAACCCAAGTGGCTCATGTCCTACCTGTCCCTTCTCCTTATCCCCAAACACAGGCAGAGGTGCCAGTGACTCTACCCAGGGATGCTCCAAACTTTACCCCAGGCTAAATATCATTGGGAATTTGTTTGGGGGGGTCCCCTTTTTTTTAAAGGGATTTCAAACCAAACAGGTGAGGGGACAAGACCCACGTACCAAAGAGGGGCATGGGGCTGGCGATCTTGGCGCACTCGGCGATGTATTCCCAGTCGGCGCTCCGCGTGTACCGCTGCTCCCGGGATCGGCCATGGAGCTGGGGGAGAGATCCCGGTCAGGCCTCATTCCAGAGGCAGGGCAGGATGGCAGGAATGTGCTCCAGCAAAGGGAATCACCCCAGGGTGGGGTAGGGGACAGGGCTCGGAGCAACCAGTCTGTGATTCCGTGATGATGGATACAAGGCCCAGGAGCAGCGAGAAAAACACTTTCTGCTCCTGAATTTTCCTCTTTGATTAGCAGAGAACACTAAGAGGCAGCACAGATCTGCTCAGAGGGGTTTGAAAGAGCTGCTGAGCTGTGGGGCAGGGAAAGGTCACCCCCACCTTGTCCCCAGGCTGACGTGCAGAATTCCCAATCTCACACCACCACGAGCGTTCCCGTACCGTGACCATGGATGCTCCCCACTCCCGGATCTTGGGGATGATTTTGTGAGCCACATTCATCTTTTCTTGCACTCCAGTCCGGATCTTCACCGTCAGGGGAACGTCCAGCACCTGCAGGAGTGGGAGAATGAGGCCAGGCCGAGGCAGGAGGTGGCTCCATCAGCTCCATCATCTCCAGGCGCTCCGACTCACCGAGTTCATCCCGCGGACAATTTGTTCGAACTTGTTGGAGCGAGTCATGAGAGCACAACCTCCTCCCTGAGGGACAAAACATGGCACAGTCAAGACTTTCCGCTTCCTTGCATAGCAAAGAGTCCTTGAAGCTGCTCAGGGAACGCAGGAAAGACTTGGAGCATCTCAAGGCTTGCAGAAAATGGATTCTTTAAAAAAAAACAAACACCAGCCCGCAGCCCTCTCCTCCCAAATTCTGCCAGGAAAGGACAGCCATTCCCTGCTCCTTGAGCAGCTTATTCACCTTCTTGCTGAGGTCCCAGTGCCCATAAATGAACTGGGAGCTCTGGATCAGCCTGGTAGGAGCAGATCAGGCAGCGGGGGATAAGGGAAAAGACAAGGATCCACACAAGGAAGCCAAACACGCCCTACAACTCACCTTCTTGTAGACCAGGTCAATGGGACACCCCACGTTGATGTCCACAAAATCCACCTCAATTGTCTTGTTCAGGAGCTCTGCACACTTGGTCATGGTGTCTGGGAAGGCTCCCTCCAGCTGCCAAAGGGAAAAAAGGCTTCCATGAGCTCCAGGGGCCGCTTTTCTCCTGGAAAGTTTGGTTATGGAGGTGACAACACTCACCTGCACCCCAAAAATATCCTCGGTGTGGTGGCGTTTGAGCAGGGCCCACTCCGAGGACTGGCCCTGGAGCAGGTTGGTGCACACAGCCATCTCCCCACAGGTGACATCTGCTCCGAAGCGTTTGCAAATCCGCCGGAAAGGGAGGTTCCCGCACTGCCAGGGACAGCAGGGACAGGGATTGTCAGGAGATCCGCTCCGTCCCGACCGTGGCAACGGAAGATTTTGACAGAAGGACAAAAGTTATCAACCCTACCGTGGTCAGTGGAGCCAGGTAGAGCTTGCCTTGGATTTCCAGCTGGAAAGCAAGGATGGAGGAACATCAGCAGAGCTGAGTCAGCAGTGCTTAAGATCATGGAATTGTAGAAGCAATAGAATGGTTTGTGTTGGGAGGGACTTTAAGGATCATCCAGTGCCACCCCGTGCCATGGGCAGGCTCCTTGCTCTTCCATCCTCCCTGACAGCTCAGCCCCTCCTTCCCAGGACCTGGAAAATCCAGGGGCTGCAGCTTCTCTTGGTTCTCACCCTTCCAAGGCCAACTCCAGACCCGCAAGTTCCCAGATCCTTCCTGTCGTGACAGGAACATGGAGCTCTGTCCTCTGCCTGCCTCCCCCAGCTAAAGGGTCTCAAAGGTGACCCTAAAGGGTCTCTCTTCCATCTGTCCACACACAATCCCCACCCCTGGAGTGGCACACAAGGGTCACCGGCCCTTGACCAGACTCTCACCTTCTTCTTCTCGCACGGCCGCAGCTTCGTGACGTCCTCGTCGGTCAGCGGGCCCACGGTTGGGATGGAGGGAGCAACCCCATCCCCTCGGGGGCTGGGGCTCTGCAAGGCCTCTGCTTCGGGATCTCCTCCCTGTTCCTGCAGCACTGGGCACTCGTGGCTGTCCCCATCCCCCAGCCCCTCCTGGGGAGCCGCGCAGTTGGACACCTCTTGCTCCCCCGTGGCTTCGCCTCCCTTCCCGTCCCCTCCGCGGGGCTTGAGCCCACGCAGATACTCCTCAGCCTTCTGGAACACGAACTTCCTCTTGCGCAGCCGGTGCTGCAGGTCCTTGGAGAGGTTGTTCCTCACCAGCAGCTTCCCTTCCCACTGCTGGGCCAGGGCGGCGTTGACGATGTTCTGGTGGCCGTCGCCGAGGTGGGCGCGGGCGAAGCGACAGGTGACCCCGTAGGGACAGCGGCCGAAGGTGTCGAAGAGGACGCAGCGCTGGCCCAGGTCCGAGGGCTTCCCCGCCAGGTACTCGCCCACGTCGTGGAGGAAACGGCACCGGGGGCCGAAGAAGCACTTCCCTGGACTGCCCTTGGGAGAACACGGAGTGGGA